TCCCACCACTATCTCCCATAGACTACGGTCACTTCCACCATCGTTGTCCATTGACTACGGTCCTTTTGACCACCATATCTGTTAAAAGGTTTGAGTAGCTCCAGTGAAAGATAAGATTAGATAGAGTAGACTTAGAAGGTTTGTTCATGTAAAATGACGACCTTTGTTAGGAGAGTAGATGTATTAGATTTGGCCTATATTAAGAAAGATAAAGATACACCTAAAGGGACTAGGCGAAAATGGGAATTTAATGAGCATTTGAAACTTAATAGGAAATAATGGAGAAAATTGATTCATTTAAACAACCTCACGTATTGGGATAAATGCTTGATGTTGTTGTTTTTTTGTTGGTCTAAGACTTCAGTCAAACCCTCTTTTACATATTAAGGTATACTAGTTTTTTTCCTAAACCTATAATGATTTTACACATAAGATCTTAATTCAATATTAATTTCTTGAATGCCTACAATAAGGACATGGAGAATATTAATTTTGTTTCAATAGATGCTTAGATCATTAGAACCATATTCATATAATATAAACTCATGCGGTTAACAATCAGTCTTACCTAGTCCATGCAAGGAACATAGAATATGAAACGACTCTGCTTAAGGATATACCAATTATTTCCTTGTATTAAAATATATTTCATACTCATTTGATTGAACTATTGCCCAAAAGAGAGTTAGACTTTGTAGAAGATTTGTTGTTCGTAATTAAACTAGTATCAAGAGCTCCTTACAGCGTGAGGATAATAAAATTATTAGAGTTGAAAGCTCAAATATAAGAGTTGTTGAAAAAGAGTTTATCTGGCCAAGTGTTTCCGTAAAGAGCCCCAACTTTATTTGCAAAGAAGAAGGATAATAGCATGGGCTTTTCATTAAGTATTGAGAATTGAAAAAAGTGACAATGATGAGTAAGTATACTCTTCAATTAATTTATAATCTCTTCACGTGAACAATGTAGTAGTGTTACCTAATATTAATCTCCAAGCAAGATATCAAAAACTCATGTTTAAGCAACAAGATGTGTCGAAGACAATTTTTTTAACAAGATTTGGTCGGTACGAGTTTATGAGTATGTATGTGCACAGCATGTGATCATGATCACAAGTTTGTGGGCATGATAGAGGAGCAAGCATGTGGGACCACTAAAATATAGGCATAAGGGACTTAGCAATGCACAATTAATGTTGGGAGGTTCTTGAATTAGTATATGTTGAAATATATGGGTGTCAATATTTGATTCAACCCGAACCCAACTCAAAATTTTCAGGTTAGGGTCGACCCGTTTAAAGAACAGTTCAAGTCAAGGTATGATGTTTTGACCCGTTCAAAGTTTTAGGTCAAGTTGGGGTTAACCCACAAATCTGATAGTAACCTGAATCGACCTATGTTTTTTTTTTTTTTTTTTTTTTTTTTGGGGAGTTTTTGCTTAGGGAGAATACTAAATAGCGAGTAGGTAGCATGTTAGGGAATTTTACTCTCATTCTGTCTTCTTTAGTTTGCTCGTTCTGTCTAGGGTTTCTCACTTTCTCTCTAGTGTGGGAGCTCTCCTCGGCGTCCTCTCTTATATTTTGGTTCTGTCGTATCCCTTCAACCTTCATGGCTTTATTACTCTTCTAATTCCACCTAGCTTTCTCGAGTCCTTCTATTGCGTATGATCATAAACAGATAAACCATACATTATCGATTCTCCTCCCCTATCAGTCATCGCAACCAGGTTCAACTCTTAAGCAAAATTACATTGTTTATATCTCATTTTTATTACCATTTTTTGATATTTTAGAAGATGAAGGTGTTGACATTTTGTGTTGTTGACTTGTTATTCACTTATTCTCTATTAGGGTGTTCAGATTTTTTATTTTTTTTACAAAAATATGATTATTTAAGACACCATTTACAGAAGCACTGAAGCAATTAGGTTGTTCTCGGCTAGGGTTCTAAATTTTTCTTATTATTGTATCTGCTTATGGCGCTTTGTAGAAGCACTGAAGTAGTTTGGGCATCACTTTTTTTCCTTTTTTCATTTGGTTATTGACTAGTTTGTTGGTTAATGATTGGTTAGTTACTGATTACTTGGTTATTGTAGTTCTTAATAGTTATTTTGTTGTTTCTTGCATTAAAAGTTTACAACATCTTATTAGTTGATTATTGTATATTAATAGTTATTTTATTATTGACTTATTTCCTTTATGCATTTGTCCCTTTATATCGTTAACTTATATAGTTATACATGTTTGGTTGGAAATTTGGCATTGAAATATTGAATCAATGTGTCAATTATTTGTATTTTGCCCTTTAAGATGTTCAATTGTTAACTAAAAATTTGTGTTAGTTCACTTCATATCAGAAATTTTAGTATTTAGTTTGTGTCTTTTGGTTCCAATTTCACATACAAGAACTATTTAATTTTTTGCATTGTGGTGTCTTCTAATATTTCTGTTAGATGGAGGACTCAAATACAATACCTGAGATTTTTTTTTTTTTATGAAAATGAACAAGTTGGGCGATCTGAAAATGTGGCAAAGAAGAATAACTTTGGTTGTTCGGGGTTACTATGAGATGTTGCTTAATCCAAAACATGGTAAGCAAAGGCATAAACACAAGAAATGTGGCGTGACATATTTATGTAATAGCAAAGGTGGCACTGATAATCTATGATGACACTTGGAAAATTGTAAGAAAATAAATATGCTTGATGTTGGACAACTCATTTTACAAACAAACTCTGAATCATCCATTTTTGTGATTGATGGTAAGTTTGATCTGTCAGAATTTTGTGACTTGTTTACTACATATATCATTATGCATGCTTGCCCTCCCAGTGTGTTGAGTGGGTTGGAGTTTAGGCTCTTTTGATGTATCTTTGTCGGGACTTGCAGTTATTTTCTAGGAATACTGTACAAATTGATTATAAGAAATTATTTAATAAATAGAAGTATTGTATATGTTCACAGTTAGCTAAATCCACAAGCAGGGTGTTCTTAACATTAGACCTCTAGAATTCTATTAATATATATGGATTTATTTGTTTAACAGTGCATTTTATAGATAATGATTAGCATTTGCAAAAAAAGATAATTTGCTTTGGTTTCATGACGCCCCCTCATGATGGCATTGCATTGTTTGAAAAGTTACACTCTTGTGATGGAGTAGAAAGTTGATTCTAAACTTTTTAGCATTATTTTGGATAATGCATTTGCAAACAATGTCTCCGTTGAATATCTAAGAAATCAATTATGTTTACGTGGTACTTTGCTTTGTGATGGTGAGTTGTTTCATATTCGTTCTATAACACATATTGTTAATCTCATAGTTCAAGCGGGTTTGAAGAAGATCGATGGTTCAATAATAAAATCAGGGAGAGTATTAAGTAAAAGGCTCTCAAGAGAGGAAGCAAAAGTTTCTTGATTGTATCAAACAGAGTTGCCTATATGGAGCCTAAAACCTATTGTCATTTACTCATATATTATATGTGGTTTTATAAAACGATGATGATTAACCTTTTAAAATGAAAGTGAGAATCATATCAGTGTAACTGCTATTACAATTTACAACCATGTGACATTTGTATTCTCTTGGAATGAGCAGATACTGCCTTATTGAAAGAATATATATTAAGTTAATAAAAATTGTCACCTTGGATGGTAATATGTTAATATTTATTAAACTTACACATCAATGACCTCATTATATGATTAATGATTTGGAGGATTCAATCTGATCAAATGGCAATATATAAAAGTTTGCAACCTATATAACTGATTTTTTGCAATTAAATCTATAGGTACAAGTCATTGAAGGCTTGAAGCAGTTATTTCAAGCGTTTCATCAAATCATCGTAAATTCATAGAATAATTTATTGTTTCCAAATTTAGATATGTTGTAAACTTTTTGTAGCTTATAATTGAGTTGAGTTTGTAATTGGAATGAGCAATTGAGTTGTACATGATTTGTAAATGAGTTGATTTTGTAATTAAAATGTCAAATGAGCAATTAGGTGGTAAGTGATTTGTAAATTATAAATGAGCTCATATGTGATAAATTTAATTTTATTGTAGATAACTAAATAAGTAATTTAAATTTGCTGAAAAAATTGTTCATATTTTTTTATTAGACTATTTGAGCATTGGGATTGGCGAGTTGATGTATTGCTGAAAGCCATGGTGAAACATGCTATCATTTACTCATAAGTCATAATCTGTGTTTTTATCAAGTCTGGTCAGGTTGACTCGGATCAGTTGCAGGTCAGGTTCGAGTCTAAGAAATCAACTCGTTTGCAAAAATGGATCGAGTTGGGGCCGGGTCAAATAGTACCAGTTGGACCCGACCAATGACCTGCTTTTGACAGCTCTACTTGAAATGTACTTATTTGTCTTATTTGTTGAAGAACCAATAAAACCCTAAATTCTTAGATGTCAATTTGTCAAACTTTTTTGTAAAAGTCTCATAGAACCTTTTTGTTTGATTAATGTATAAAATATTATGTTAATTTGTTGTCAACCTTTTAGAGACAAGAAAATTCCATGACTGAGCTTCAAGTTTATGTCGTTTTTTTAGCTATGTAATTGACACCAATGGTATAATTTATAGAAATCTCAATTTCCATCAACCCATGATTAATATGCATATAATATTTTTTTTCTTCCTAAGATCCTGGGTTAGCTCAGGTCAATGTAACAAGAACACTGAATTTTCCTGATTGAAGCCATACTAGCTACATGACTGATGGCAAAATGTGAAAGTATCCCAAGTCCATTAGTTGAAAGAGAGAGCTGTTTCACTAAAATCACAAATTTGAGTACTAATTTTATGATTTAACGCCACCATTACGAAAATGATGGCAATATCCATGCAGAACTACTCATCGCATTACTCTCTATACCATCTTTTGTTCCATGAAGCTCTTGCAGCCACCAAGATTAGTAAAAAGACCAGCTTTAAACATATGGAATCTTCATTTCCTTCAATCACAATTGATATATAATAAGGCCAAGATTAACTCAGCAGAAACATTAATAAGTTTTACACAACAAACATATCTTCTAAATTCATTCCAAACTACAACTATTTATTTAGATTTTCTAAGAAGCATTAGACCGCATATTACTATATATATATATATTACTATATATATGATTCTCTTCACAATGCTTCAAACTAAATCTTGAAAAAATTGATTCAGAATATGTAACAATATTCTCCATCTTGATGCCAATCATCTACACACCTGCTCTTTTGCCCAGCCTTTTCCTCAGTATCTTCACTCCCATGTATCTGCCCATCAAAAAAGAAGAATATATCAGGATTTAAAAGATTATTAGAACTAAAATACTAGACTTCAGCTATACCTTCCCATCATCATAACAGTTGCTTGAGGATTGGTTCCCGGAGAACTATCATAAGTTGAGCCATCGACTACCCGCAGCCTATCGACCCCAAGGACATTATACTCCTTATCAACAACCTGCCCAATGTGGCAACCACCATGATAATGCCAAATAGTTATCACTGTATCTCTACAAAACTGCTCAAGAGAAGCAGTGTCATTTGTGTGTTTGGGAATTAGGTTCACATTTGCCTTTACACTCATATTGAGCAACATTTCAATGGAGTATGAATCATCCTCAGTCAATTTCGCAAATTGCTTCGTGTGCACAATTCGTTCAATGGTTCGAATGCCATAGACACATCGTTGAAGGTCATATGGGTGGTTGAAGTAATTGAATGTCACATTGGGGTTGTTGTCAACATTAGTGTCAACAAGGTTAAGGTGGCCTCTTGATAAGGGGCCATCAATCTTTTCTAAGATGAAGCCACCTTGGAAAGCCTCTCTTGGTAGATCATTCTTGGTCTTTGAATACTTCCGTGCAGCTTCAATGGTTCTCAACTTAGGTGGTATTGTAGAGAGCTGCCCAATCTGATTGCCAATCATCATCAAACAAAATTTTGAACTTTCAGTCATGATCATTGTAAAAAATGTGTAAGTTTAAGCTTTTAGGTAGGTTTTTTGCCAATGTTTAATAAGGTTATACAACCAGAGATTTTAATTTCAAGTTCTTCATCTATGATACAAATGAAACACTAAGGCTTCGTTTGGGACGGCTTTTTTATTGCTTTCTAAAACGGAGTTTTAATACAAAAATAAAAAAATTTGTACTAAAACTCCGTTTTAGAAAGCAATAAAAAAGCCGTCCCAAACGAAGCCTAAATCTGTAGGTTGTGTTTAGAGCCGTGGTAAACTGGTTGTTGAAAGACTTTCCACTATTAGTTTGAATTCAAGTGCGCTAACTTATACTAAACTTATAAATTTTCCCACGTCAGTGCCTACTATCGCCATAAGAAAAGGCCTATGGCCGAACCCGACCCGTTTTTGCAAACGGGTCGGTTTTCAGAACCCGAACCCAACCCACTTAGGGTCCAGGTCAACCCAAACCCGATCCGATTCGGGTATATTTTATTAAATTTTTTTATTTAATTCAATTTATTTAAATCTAACTCAAATTAAGGTAAGATTTACTTCAATTAATTTAAAATAAATCAAGATTAATTTAATTTGAGCAATAATGTTTATAATTTTTTGAAATATCATTTACTTATTTCATAAAAATCCATTAAAACCCTCCTAAATTAATAAAAAATGGGTCAAACCGGGTTGATTTCGGGTTTCCAGGTCAACCCGAACCCGACCCGGTTTTACAAACGGGTCGAAATCCCTAACCCCGGTTCGGGTTCGGGTTGACCCGAACCCGAAATTTTCGGGTCGGGTTCGGGTCGGGTTTTTGGGTCGCAAATATTGACACCCCTACCTATGGCAAGTACAAGTAGGATTTATTAAATCTTGTAATTTAGTAATTCCCAGAGGCATTAACTGTTTGGCATGATAGATCTTGAATTTAGTTAAATCCTAGTAAATTATTTCACTGATATTTTCAAAATCGAGTATTTGACTGAAGGAGAAGAATAGGCAAAATAAGGAGAAGCAATGTAAATCTCTTAAATCCTACTTCTCTCAATATTTACTAAATCAAAATTTAGCCTAATTCCCCCCCAAAAAAAATAGCCTAAAACGGCTGGAAAATGGAATTTATATTTGGCTCAAAAAACTGTTTTGCAATATTTAATCCAAACCTTGCTAAATCTTGCAAATAAACAACCCCTTAAATTTTGCACAAGGGAAAACTGGCTATAAAGTTAAATTCAGATCCGTAACCAGCAAGATGCTTAATATTGAGTAAGTTGGTTGGCTATTTGTGTTGAATAAATCATAGAACAAGTGGAAGATAAAGGTGATAGGCAAGGACCTCAGCAGACATGATGCCATGATGGCAATGGATGCTATCAGAAGACTGGCCAAAGCCACTGCTGGCCTCAATGAAAGATCCCATCTTAGTAATGCCAACACTCTGGATTAGGGACTGCTCAACAGGCTTCTTAGTCGGAATGAAGATAGAGTTCATTGGGTTGTCAGACATTCCCTTTCCAACATGCCAATTGTTAAGAATAACTGGTATGCCCAGCTTGTCAAGATCTTGTTTGGGACCAATTCCACTCAGGAGCAGTAGCTGGGGACTTCCCAGAGCTCCAGACGACAAGATTACTTCACTTTGACTTCTGCCATTCAGAATAGCTCGGTGTTGTTTTCCATTCTCGTCCTTGAAGAGTACTCCAACAGCACGAGGCTTTGAACCTGTTCGTTAGCCATTGTGATGAAAATATATCCAAATTGAATAAACTAACTGGAAAGGAAACTAAGTAGAAGAAGTTAGAGCCAAGCACCTCTGACATTGAAAAGAATTCTTAGAACTGTTGCATGAAGCAAAACATTGAGATTCTTTGGACTCCCAGAGGCAAGCAGGTCGGCAGCAGTGTGCCGAAAACCATTCTTGTTGAAGATGGTGCCACCGACCTTAGTGCCATAGAGGTGATCATAAGTGTATCCATTGAAAGGAGATACACCAGCCTCAAGCAATCCATCCTTTAGAGCAACTTGCCATGGTGCTAGTTTGGGCCAGTGGACAATCTGCCTCTCAATCCAGGGGTATGATTCATTTACCAATTCTATATTCCAACCAGCCTCCTTCACAAAGCTACAAAAACAGAGGACTTTAGACTCACATCAAAGGCAAATGAAGAAGAAACTCTCCACTTAAAGTAAAATTAAATTGTGTGATCAGAAGAGTAGTTGACTGGGACCAGTCATTGTTTAATGAGCCATGTGAGTAGGAGGAAAGCATGATGCCTCCATTAATGAAATTCAACAGATCCAAGTACTAGGAGGCATCTAAATTTCCTCAAAATTAGTTGGTAGGTGAGGAGACTGCTTTCATTTTCTTCATGAGAATTATGGAATTTTCAAAACAATGGTGATGACGGAAACAGTGTTAGAATATAATGCAGAGGCAAAAGATCACATGTTCTGATGAGTACAGTACTATACAATGGTCATGGTTTCATATGGTTCTTTAAATTTCATTTTTGCAGCAATAAATTGGTGAGCATTGGAAAACAAGTAATTTAGTTAGAAATGTACTAAAAACAATTAGGAATAAAATGACTAAGGCACCCACTGAGAGTCAGCTCTCTTAAAACACAATACAAAGGTTAGATGAAGCTGATTAATTAGGGGAAAAGGTAGTTGAGACAGAATAGTACCATTCTAATTTTAGATATGTTCATTTTTACAAGTCCAGCTAATTTGAGATGAACCAATATTCAAACATACCAACAAGTTTGACTTCAGTTAATAATGAAGGCTTAGTCATGAATAACTTTCCATTTATATGAACATACACAATTCAATTATTTACTAGTGAAAGAATAAGGGTAAACTAGATTCTTATAGGTGAAAACACAAACACCTCGAGCTTGCCCTTGTGTAGAACCCAGCATTAATGCAAGTTCCACCTCCCAAAACCCTAGCTCTGGCATTGATAACCCCATCAGTTGAAATGAATGCCTGAGAAGGAGACTGGGGAGAAGTATCAGCGAGAGAAATATGGAAGTTTTGGAGATAAGACACATTGACATTGCCATAAGGAGAGCCCCCCCTCTCCAGAAGAAGCACACTGTATTTCTGTGAAAGGGTGGCTGCCAAAGGGCAACCTGCCGTGCCACCGCCGACTATAATGTAGTCATAGCCTCGCGGCGGCGATAATGAGAAGCTGCTTGCCATCTTCAGATATGGATAGTTCTTCCTTGAAAACTCCCTCCCTGCAAGTTCTCAACATTTGCTTAAAAACATCAGTTCAGTTAACTTCAAATCATGAGGAATATGCAGAGAAGAAGGAGAAGAAGAGGGCATAATGTAGAAGAAAAAGTCTTTCAGAATCTTCAAAAGCAAATACTTTTGAAGCACTATTTATCTACTTCTTCATTCCTAACAGAATTGGAACATCCCAGGCTTAATTTCCTTGAAAAAGAGAAAATGCAGAGGAGAAAAGTGGAGATCAAACCTTGAGAAGATTTGATAATACAAAGGATGAGTAAAATCTTGAGAAAAAGCTCTCCAAACTTTGGAGCCATTGAAGGAGGAGCTCAAGATGGCACAAATCTTTTTCTCTCCCACAACCTCCTACTTAACCACCAGAAAGATGCAAACTTGAGAGTAGCAGAGATCGAGATTGGGAGAGACGCGACCTTAGTTCCATATATTTATTGCGTGCTGAGCAATAACGATGGCGTCATTTAATGAAGACATGAATGCGATGTTTGGCTTACAGAAAACTAATGAAGAGTAGACCTCCTATTATGCCTTAATCTTGATTGTTTTTTTTTTTTTGCCAACTTTAAATTCCTTTATATAATAATATTCAAGGACTTCAATTATTATTTTAAATAGTTAATATAAAAAATAACATAAAATTAATGACATTGATATTATTAAAACATTGCTTAGCCAATTATGATGTTTACAGAAATTTTGTTCATTCAAGTGTTCAGTACTTTTTGAAAAGGATTTTTCCAGCTTTCTTTTCTTCGCTTTCAGCTACTTAAAATTTTAATTTATTGACTAACATATTCATTATTATTAAACTATGCTCATAATTAAATGCTATCAACCTACCTCCCAAAACCACTTCCGAACGGGACTGTTGCTATTAATTTTCAAATAAATTCATGCAAAAGTTAATGTCATAAATGCTATAAAATGCATTTTTTAGTCGAATAAAGCTGGCTATTACTATTATCCTCTTATTAAGTTCATGTTTTCATTTAAAGGAATAATGATATTTTACTAAAAAAATATAATTTAATTAAAATTAAAATAATGTATACAGAAATAAGAAATTTCTATTGGAAATAAAATATGTTGATCAAATTGAGTAATATTTTATTTTTGATGAATTATAAAATTCCTAAATTTTGTTTTTCTCATATAAAGAAAATAATTTAGAAATTCATCAGTTATTTTGGAATAAAATTTTAATCTTGTATATAATTATCTTACGTCTTTTTTTTTTAGAAAAATTAAGAGAAAACATTAGCATAATAAGTATGTTATTTTTTTTATTTCTTTTTTAGCATAATAAGCATGTAATATCCATTACTTTAGGTTTGTTTAGGGCAATTACTACTTCCTCTTGAGATGTATAATTATTTTACATATTCTTTTGAAATTTTAAGAGAATACTTTAACATATAAGCATGTACTATCCATTAGTTTAGAACTATTTAGGTCAATTACTATTTCCTCTTGAGATATACACAACATGCTTGCATAGTTGTACTATAGAACAAATACACATGAGATGAATAGGATCCTCTCAGTGCTACACCTCAAGCTCCAAAACCTCAAATCAATTATTAAGGCTAAAACTTGGGTCAATTCTAACTCTATTATAGAAATTATTTCAAATCTTTAGAAACTACAGCAACACTGACTCTCTTAGTTAGAATATATTCCTCTCAATGCTACTTTAAATAGCTCTCTTAATACCGTCGGATTCAAGGCTCGTCTCGAGGGAAGTTCACCAAAGAAGAAGTTCACTTTGGTGTCAAAGGACCCGGCAACTCCGCCGCACCGGGAAGGTGGAAGTGATTTTGTAAGGGCTTCTCCGCCTAACTGTGGGGGCTAAAGGAGAGACACATGTTTTAGTGCAATACTTGGAGGGTGCCTCCAAGGAGTGGATGTAGGTCAAGGTTTGACCGAACCACTATAAATTCGGTGTGTTCTTTCTTATTATTTGCTTCCGCATTTAATTTCCGCATCGTTGGTTTTGATTGTGGTGAATATTGTTTTTGGATTTAAGATTGTGTTTTTTTAAATACTGATTCACCTCTCTATCTCATTATTAGCCTTGGGCCAGTTCATAAGGGCTTAACATCCCTAACAAACTTTCAAGTGGTATCAGAGCACTTTCTAGTGTCATCTGAGCACTTTCAATCTCCTCCACCATTCAGCATTTTTAGCATCTTTACAATGCCCCTCCCTCCTCTCAAACTAACCTTAATTGTATCTTGTCTGGTTCCACCATTCCCCCCAGCCTTGTTGCTTCCCTTGCTACCCTTATAACTGAGGATGAAATAAAAAAAAGGTGGTATTTGTCAGCCCCTCTTATTCTGCTCTCAGCCCAGATGGTTTCAGCTTTGTTTTCTATAAAAGACCATTGTCTGTTGTTGGCCTCTCTATTGTAAAGCTGTTAAGTCCTTTTTCTTCAAGTGTTATCTCCCTAGGAAAGTTAAGGTTATAGTTCTAGCCTTAATTCATAAATTTAATCAAGTTAGTAGTTTATTTGACTTTAGGCTCATCTCCTTATGTAGTACCTTCTACAAAAATTTTTTCAAAACTTTGGCTGTTAGGCTCAAACCCATTATGCCTCGCATTAAAAATCAAAACCAAGTTGGTTCTATTCATCGTAGAATTTCCATTGAAAATGTTCTTCGAGCCGCTAAGCTCCTAGGGAAATTCAAAATAAAAGAACATAAGAGGTTGTTTTGACTAAATATGACATCCGCAGGGTGTTTGATTCGATCTATAAGGATTTATACTGGCCAGAATGACACAAAAAGAAATTACTGCTATCTTTATTAAGGCATGTATTACTTATGTGTACTTTTCTATTTGCATTTATGGTGGTCTTAAGGGGTTTTTCTCTTCATCATCTGGATTAAGGGTTTCTCTCTTATCCCCTATTTATTTTAAATTGTCAAGGATGCTTTCTTTTGACTTATTAACCTTGATGTGGCAGACAGGAAATTTTTGGGAATTAAAAATGATGCCTTTTATTTCTCACATCCTTTATACAAAAATGATTTGCAAGTTTTTGGTTAAGCCTCTATCCAAAAATGTTATTCTCTAAACTACATCCTCTCCCAATTTGCTTCCTACCCTAGGCTCCATTTAAAAATAGCTCTCTCATCATTTTCCCAGTAACCCAAACCCTTCTTATATCTGCACTTATCAGACATTCATACTTCCTGCCATAAACTCACATACCTTGGCCTTCCCATTTCTTTTCAAAGAGTTCAGATCTCTAACTTCCACCCCATTATGCAAACTATTTCTAACCATCTTGTTGGGTGGAAAGTAAGGCTTCTCCCTTTTACAAGTAGGTTACAATTCATTAGAGACACAATCTATAGCACTACTGCATATTGGATCTGTGGCTTTATTTTACCAAAGTCTTGTTGTAAATTTATTGAAAAAATATGTACCAAATTCCTCTATTTTGGTGCTATTCATGTAAGGAAACTCCTTCTTATCTCTTTACATAACACTTGCAAACCCAAAGGAATTGGTTCTTTCAGCTTGACCTCAATTCAAGCTCTATACCATGCACATTACTTTTCCCCTTATTAGCAAATTTTACAATCATACAACTCCCTTTACTTGTTGGCTTAGGGCTATATAATATTCCCCCTATAAACCACCTTTCTCTAAGGCCTCCATAATATAGAAAGTTATCTATCACACGTCTATCAGAGTTAAAAATAGGTTCTGTTTTGTTGTTACTTCTAACTCCACCATCTTCCTGTTCTGGGATCATCTGTGGAGTAATGTTAAAACTATTGACCCTCATATTCATGTATATAATTCACTTGCTCAAATTTTTTTTCCCTTTAATGCTACTTTTTATAATCTCATGAGGAATGATACTTGGTGTTTACCTAGTGTTTAACTGATCAGTTTGTGGCTTGTATCTTTAATGTTCCCATATGCGAATCACCTCATAACTGCATATTATGGGACAACTCTGGCTTTGCTACTCTTGGTAACATTCGTGATTTTTATGGTGATGAAACTCAATACACTAGGTCCAATTTTGCTTAGCACAATCATCATGCTTCAATAATCTCCATTTTTTTCTTGGATGGCTATCATTAAACTATTGAAGCTCTCTCTAGAAGGAATATTCAAGTGGACTCACTTTATTCTCATTATTGGTATAGCCCTAAAAATACCGCTCACCTATTCTTTGAATGTGATTACTCAGTTGCTGTAATCAATGATATCATCCCTGGGCTAGACAGTTTTTTTCTCAGGCCAACCATGCTCCAAGTATTCGAATATATGTTGCTCTATTCGAATATATCCACATACCACAAAAACTTTCTTTCCCTGGATATATGATGCTATATTTATTTTATCAGGAAAGAAAGAAATATGATTTTAATTTTGTAATCTCTTCTACCACTCGATCTTAAATTAAAAAAGTTTCTCTGCTTAAACATGATAAATGGAAGAAATGGGGATATTATCAAAGCTCTTATTAAATTTTGAACTTTTGAGCCCAGAAGTGACAGGCGGGTACTGCTTTTTTGCTTGGTTGAGATGGTTAATGCTTCTATTGCTTATTGATGTTCGGGAGGTGCAAATTTTATATTAGAAGTGTGTTGGTTTTTCTATTCATTTCATTATTGCTACTATTTGTTCATTTATTGGTTATTATGGTCTAGTTGGATTTTGGCTTGGATGATGATGAATTCCCTGTATCTCTAGCCCCCTCCCCTTGGACAACCCCGAGGAAACCAGGGGATATGTGTATTACTCTGGTCATCCTCTGATCCTATCTTATTTATATTCTGAGTCTAGGTGTTGCTTTAAATTTTTTCGCTTTGGCCAAGAACTTTCTGTGGTTTTGACTGTTGGGTTCTCCATCCCTCTCCTACCGCATTGTGCTCATTTTTGGTGAAATCTTCAAGTTTTTCTCACTATTCTTTTATGGGTATTATTAGGTTTTGGTACAACTTATGTTACTTTTATTTTGAGTTTTTATTTTTTTTTTCCTCCTTGGTTATGTTTGTGTTTTAGCTTTGTTGATGTTTGAGCATTGTTAAGTTTTGGTTCAGCTCAAATTTGTCACGTGCTCAGTCCTTCAAGCTGTATTTTATGATTTATGTACCCTTTTTTAACATATGAAATAAAATTTGGATCATGGCCCCTAATTCCCCCCCCCCCCCCCCCAAAAAAAAAAAAAAACTCCCCACCCCGCCCACCAAAAGAAAGTAATAAAATAAATAACCCCAACTCCTAACAATATATATTTATTAAGGCCTCCAGCCATGGCCTTGGTTACAAGAGTGCACAATGATAATATTATAATATTTAGACTGAAATAAATCATATTTGTTTTTATAATTATGAACAAATTATTGTATAAGTGATGACACAATCATAAACTATGGAGAAGTTTCATATATTTATAGTATTTATCATCATATATCAAG